AAGAGAGAGAGTATACACAACATAGAACAACATGTGTTTTACAATTATTTAGAATGAATTATAATGAAACACATTAATATAAAATGTATAAATTTTATTTAAATATCAATTTACTAAAAAACGAGTTATAAGGTAACATTTTCACTTTTGGTATCTTAATAGAGTTACACACAATATATTAAATACTCAGATAAGATACATATATTGCCAGAACACATATATTATATATTATTTAGCTCATGTACTCCTTCCTGCATAACACAGACATAAAATATTTGGTCGATTATCTGTTAAATGGTGGTACTTTTTTGTTTTCCAGCTCATGATTAGGCAGAGCCTTCACCAGAACAACAGATGACATTTTGACACACCTCTCTGTAATCCCTCTCTAATAAAGTTGGAAAATGGCAGGAAGAGCTCAGATACTAAATGTCATTAAAGACTACACAACATCTTAATTGGCTAAAAATAACGCTTTTGCACAGAAATTTCATTTTTCAGAAAAGTATACAATTTCTGGTTAGTTGATTGCCAAAAATATTTCATTTTTAAAAGGGTTATCAGATATATATATAACAGAAAGCAAAGTTGGTGGCTAAACAATATTCAATTCAGGTGCATTTGATTTGAACTGAACAAAGATATGAAGCAAACCCAGCTATGTTTTTGGAGGCAAGGGTGTGCTTTAGACTGAAAACTGTGGGGCGAAACCTTCTGGGTTTAATCTTTTTTTCTATTCTGCTCTCGTGCGCCAAACCCTTGTGTGTCACTTCACTGTTACTAACTTCTGCACACTATTTACTTATGATCTTTTTAAAGGTCCTCCTTTCCACTTACTCCCACACCACACACCTTTATTTTAACCTAAATGAATAGAAAAGCACTGGTGTTTTCTTTGCTTGAAAATTGTCCCATAGGGAAATTCTATTTTATTCAACCATTTTATATTAACACAGATATAGGCAGCGTACTCTTCCTAACAGATATGTTGATTCAATTCAGCAGTATTTTGGAATTTCTGATTAAAGTGTTTAACAACCAGCATGTCTGTTAGGACTGCCTTCTAAAGTGATTTTATATCTTGTGTTAACTGCAACCAGATTTTTACCATATGAATGCAGAAGCTAGGACAAAAAGTAAGTAAAATACAATAATATGCATTGCTATGCATATATCTTAAAATTATATAGAATGGAAAATCAGGAGATTAAATTCTTTAGGATTCTATTTACTCTGCTTTTTACTTCATGGAACATGGGCGAAATAAAGGAATTAATTGATAAAAATGAAATAATTCTGTACCTTTCCTTATTTTGGATTTGACTGAACTTCCAATATCACAGTTGTTACTGTATCTGCATACAATCATTAGAAAGGGTTTGCCAACCACTGGAAAGCAAAAGGCAGAATAGGAAGGTACAACTATGGTCAACCACAAAAGCTATGAATCTACCCACCCATTCATGGACTATAAATATGGATCATGCTTCTAGCATTTTCACTGAAATTAACTTACTCATTGTTTACTGAAAATAATGATGTTACACTGTTTTCTTTTAATAACAAAGAGTAAAATGTACTGAATAATTCTTTGTGCATAGTGTTTATATGCATTATCATTTAATTCTCATAAAAAACTATTAACTTTATTTTATAAAAGAGAAACTGACTCAAAATAACTTGCACAAGATATTGCTGGTGCTGGGATTTAACTCAAATTCTAAACACTATATTTTAGTAGCATAGACAGTATAGTAAGAGGCTAATATTTTTAAAAATTTACTTTTGCTCTCACACTAAGTCTAACATCTTCTCTCTTGGTGTCCAGTGTTTCAACAACAGTTTTCATGTCTCCAGGTTAGGGTGAAGCAGTTGAATTATTTCAGGAATGAATGCCATCCTATGTTTTATTATCTCTGCAAAGAGTACTTTTATAAGCAACATGATGCACTTCAACTTTTTCTATGGTCCTCTCTGACATGTTAACTCTAGGAACAAAAGTATATTCTATAATGGTATTCGTAGCAAGAGCTAAATTAATATCTCTAATAACTTCTCCTTTTTTTTGATATTAACATTTTATATATTCTGTATGTAACTCTATGTTATAGATAACTACTCCTTTTGACACGTTCTTTAGCTGTTTTTAGCCTTGAATCAAATTTAGACTTAAATCACAGAATTATAGTGGGACCAGAGCTGACAGATCTTTTCCTATTTGTTTTAAAAATAGCATATATAATAAAATACTTAACCATATATCTTGGAAATTTACATAGAATTCTACCTTGAGGCAGAGAAACAGACAAGGTGCTCTCCCTGGATTATTCACTGCCAAGATCTCACTTTAAAAGTCCTTCTTTACACTTAACAGGTGCCAGTCTATAAAGTCAACCCTATAGATCCTTTGATGTTTTTCCAAACTCTACCAGTAGGAATTTAATTCTTATAGTAGGAACCAACATTTACCTAATTTGATGATTTCTAGCCTTTTTGGATTTGAGTCACTTTATTACTATTTACTTGAATCTTCAAAATCTACTCTTTTAAGGAGTGCTCATGATAAATTTGTTTTAATATGACAGAATTAAATTTTTATCTGATAATTCTAAGATCTTTTCATATAACCAAAGACATCCTGGAGTACCACAAAATCAGTTGAGCCTTACTCATATGAGACCTATACTTATCACACCTACTGAATATGAAGGCTTAACTTATTATTAGTTTCTGGTGTTGTTATAACTACATAGAAAATGCCCAGCTATGTTATATTTAATATTGATCTTAGAAGAAAAATTATTCACATATATATTTCCAACAATGTTTTTTCCTAATTAGGAAGAAATGAATGTTCTCTAGAATTGCGCATAAACTCTTTTAAAACTTTTTCTGCTTTGTTTAGGTAAACGATCTTATCTTACTTCTAATACCACCATGCCTGGTTCTTGAATTACAGTAATATTTTTGAATACTTTCAAAGCAGGTTTTTCTTGAATTTCTAATTCTTCTACATCACCTGTAAAAAAGAAGTGATTATAAGGTATATATAATTTTCTGATAATCTTCCAGAGGCATAACTATTCATTTGTTTATAGAGAGAACTGAAATAAAGCAGCTATACAATGAAAAAATAAATAAAATTTGTACTCAATTTTTAAACAGCTAAGTTCTATGTTAATTGCTTATAGCAACTGAAAGATCTCAACATGTATTATAAAAATTCATATAACTAGGCAGACTTTACCTGGACATTAAATATTTTATCAGCAGCAAACTCAGATGATGTTCAAACATACATGTTCGTAACAAGAGATTTAGCCTTACACTAGCATCTTAACATTTGGTATGAAACTAGTCAACTACTGCCAACTAGTAACTTCTCCCTTCTGTCTTCCTAAGTTCAATAATTCTACAGGGAAATTCTATTGTCAAAGATGAGACTTTTCTGGTCTTTCTAGTGTCTTCTTTTTTTTCTTTTAAAGAAACAGGGTCTTAGGCCGGGATGGTGGCTCACACCTGTAATCCTAGCATTCTGGGAAACTGAGGTAGACAGATCCTTTGAGCTCAGGCGCTCGAGATCAGCCTGAGCAAGAGCAAGACTCTGTCTCCACTAAAAAAATAGAAAGAAATTAGCAGGACAACTAAAAATACAAATATATAAAAAACTGGCCGGGCATGGTAGTGCATTCCTGTAGTCCCAGCTACTCAGAAGGCTGAGGCAGGAGGATTGCTTGAGCCCAGGAATTTGAGGTTAGGGCAACAGAGTGAGACTGTGTCTCAAAAAAAAAAAAAAAAAAAAAAAGATCAAGAGACAGGGTCTTACTATGTTGCCCAGGCTGCTGTTCTAGAACTCCTGGCTTCAAGGTGAAATTCCTGCTTCAGCCTCCTGAGTAGCTGGGATTACAGCATGAGCCATGGAGCCTGGCTACTTCCTAGTGTCCCTTAATCAAGAATTTTTTTTTGGCCGGGCCGGTGGCTCACGCCTGTAATCCTAGCACTCTGGAGGCTGAGGCGGGCGGATTGCTCGAGGTCAGGAGTTCGAAACCAGCCTGAGCGAGACCCGTCTCTACTAAAATAAGAATTAATTGACCAACTAAAAGTATATATACAAAAAAATTAGCCGGGCATGGTGGTGCATGCCTGTAGTCCCAGCTACTCGGGAGGCTGAGGCAGGAGGATCCCTTGAGCCCAGGAGTTTGAGGTTGCTGTGAGCTAGGCTGACGCCATGGCACTCACTCTAGCCTGGGCAACAAAAGTGAGACTCTGTCTCAAAAAAAAAAAAAAAAAAAAAAAAGATTTTTTTTTGAGACAGAGTCTCACTCTACTGCCCTACTAGAATGCTGTGGTGAAGCCTAGCTCAAGCAACCTCAACTACTAGGCTCAAGCAATCCTTCTGCCTCAGCCTCCCAAGTGGCTGGGACTACAGGCGCACACCAGGACACCTGGCTAATTTTTCTATTTTTAGTAGAGACGGGGTCTCGATATTGCTCAGAGCTGGTCTCTAACTCCTGAGCTCAAGTGATCCTCCCGCCTCGGCCTCCCAAAGTGTTAGGATTACAGGCGTGAACCACAGCACCCGGCCTTAATCAATAATTAGTTTAGATATATTTTATTAACTTTCTATGTTATGACCTATAATTCTAACATGGTTATGAGGTTAAAAAAATTTCTTTCTACTGGTTTATTTTATGGTCATATTTTTCTATATGAATTATAAAGAGCATACTGATTGAAAGTGTATTTTGTAGTATGAAATATTCTTGCTTTATTAGTCTCCATGCTTTTTAATTTAGTCATTGCCCCTCATTATGTTAATATACAAAAATCTCTAACTCAAAGTGGTCTAATATGGAAATAGAATAGGTTTATTCTCCTACTGGCCTTTGGACAGTGGTTATTAAGCTATAATAAAACCTGTATAGACTGGTACTGATGGAACCAGGAAAGTTATTTTCACTAATCAAATAAAATAAATAAATAAAATTTTAGGTATAGTCAACTAAAATAGATTTTAAACAGAAGGAGCAAAGACTACTGATATCAAGGATAAGAGGTATAATGGAACTAAAAAAAATTTATGAGTATATTTTCAAAAATTTTACCTCAAGGCAATAATATGACCATGTGTATAAATAAAATTTGTACAATTCTGAGACAATTACCAAAATTAAATAACATTCTTTCTTAGATATAAAATTATCTTACTAAAAAACAGAAAACAATTAAAAGAATTTCAATACATACACATACCTGTCAATTTCTGTAGCTGGTAAAAGAGCAAATTAAAGGGACCAGTATATGGGATGGCTTGGGTCTGTTTCACAGTGCTCATGGCCAAGTCAGTATAATCTGAAGAGAAAATTAGAGTAAATATAGTTAATGAAACAATACTAGTCCCACAAATACAATTTGCAAACATATACCAGGAATAAAAAAAAAAGTAAAAGCAAGGTAAATGAGAATAAGTTTTTCAGAAAGCTAACAAGATGTTCCTTAATACATTACTACCCACATTTTCCTACTTATCTCCTTATGTCCCACCCCACCCCACCCCCAGTTAATTTCTGCTCCAGCTTTAAGAAAGCACTGTCATTCCCTGAATATTCCAGGTGTCTAGGAGCCACTACGCCAGCTGTCATCTGCCTTCTTTTTTGCTTGGCAACTCCTAACAATCTTTCACCACCTGATACAAGTACTTCCTAATTTACAAAGTTTTTCCCAACTCTCTAGGCCCAGTCTCTCCTTACATACTTATCATTCATTTCTGTGTGTCACTGAGCAATACGTGATTAGCTCTTCCCAACATTGCCTTCCTCATAGATAGAGATGATTTCAACGGCTGGGATTCTTGTTTATAAATAAATCTTCAGTCCTCCAGCACCTAATGCCTGGCATAAGAGTAAGAGCCCTAGCTACTGAATGAAGCAACAAAGATAGCAACGTGTGATGATCTGGAAGCTGACAGTTGACCTATCTCACAGGTGAATACCTCAACACTGCTGCTATTTCATATTTCTTCATAAAACACGTATAATTTATTAGTGCTATATAAATAACCTTGACCACAGTATTTACTTGAAGATAATACTATATTTATTGGGAAATTACTTATTGATAACAGTATTTACACAAAGAATACACTGATAAACTTTGGGGAAAAAAAGCAATTTATAAACTTAAATGTAATCCTATTTAGCTTTGCTCAAATTTTCATTTTTCTCTATTAGTTTCAATTTATATACACTACAGGCTTGGGCTATTATAGTTGGTATTACTATTTTGGATGAAAAATGCAAGTTCCAATGTAATGAAAAATTTAGGCATTCCATTAAAATTTTTTACTTTTAAAGAAATTATAAAGTTTTTGTTCCCAACTCCTTTTGGAAGGCCCAGCAAATGATGTAAAACTACAGGTTATAAAGACAAAATGCTTATCTGGGGAGTCCAAAGTGACTTTT